AATTTTAGCTGACTGTCCCTCAGACAAAGGCCTTCTATCTAAAACATATAAAGAATTAAAAAATATCAGCACCCCCCAAATTCAAAGATCCAATCCAAAATGGGCAGCTGAGATGAATACACACTTCTCAGATCATGAAATACAAATGGCAAATAAATACATGAGAAAATGCTCAACATCATTAGTCATTCGAGAAATGCAAATTAAAACAATATTGAGATTCCACCTTACCCCAGTAAGAATGGCTAGCCATTAAGAAATCAACCAATAACAAATGTTGGCGAGGCTGTGGAGAAATAGGAAACTGTGGTAATCAGTTTGGAGATTCCTCAGAAAACTAGGTCTAGAGGTCCCATTCAACCCAGCTATTCTCCTTCTGGGTATTTTCCCAGAAGATCTAAAAAGATCATATCACAGCGATATATGTGCACCTATGTTCATAGCAGCACAATTTGTAGTTGCTAAATTATGGAAGCAACCCAAATGTCTATCCACCAAGGACTGGATAAGAAAATTGTGGTATTTTATATAATGGAATATTACTCAGCTATAAAGAAAGATAAACTCGAGACTTTTATAGATAAATGGTCACAACTAGACATCATATTCATAAGTAAAATAAATCAGACCTCCATGTGCAAGCACTGCATTGCCTCACTAGTGTAAAACCTGAAAGAGTTAATTTAAACTATGAGGTTTGACAGACATTGTGAAATGATAGGAAAATGGTCAAGGGTAAAGGGCAACTGGGATGTGGGAAAAGAGAAGGGAAAGAAGGAAAAATTTTGTACGTATGTATATACAGGCTAGTTAACATAGTTGATCTACTGTCTTCTATTTCTTTGCTGAAAGAAACGGTTAATGAGTCCTTGATTGACCAATACTGCATGTCTCTGTTTTCATGAGAAACCACCTTGAAGATATTAATATGTAATACAACAAGCATTGTTAATGTCCTACCATTTTGATTGTAACTCTGCATTGTTTGTACTGCTCTTTTGCTATTTTGTAAAAGGTTGTCTGTCTGTTAATGTTTTCCACCTTTTATTTTTAAAATAAGAAAAAGGTACAAAAGTGTATATACTTGGATAAAAATTTCCCTCCTAATTCCCAGTAACCCAATTACTGTCTCCTCTCAGAAGCAAAGTGACCATTTTCTTTTGTTTCCTCCCAAAAATATTTTATACAGAGTTAAAGTTGTTCATATACACTTTCTTATACTTATTTGTAGACACATAAGGGTTTTTACCTTGCTCTATAGTAACAATATAGTTTAGAGATCATTCTCTATATTTCAGAAAACACTTCCAATCTGAATAGACAGTTTTCTCAGTCTTTTTTCAATGTGCTTAACTGAAGAGTTTATAACAATTTAGCCTATATCCTAATGCAAACCTTCAGTTTATTTCTATGATTTTCTGTGACAAATGGTGCTGTAAACATTGCACACATATTGGGAAAGCATTTAGGAGCTGAAGTTCTAGGGGAAAAATTGCTCTGTCACAAGGTCTATGAGTTTAGAATTTTGATAAAGATAAACTCAAGGCTTTTATAGGTAAACGGATGCAACTACGGACCATACTCGTAAGTCAAATAAATCAGACTCACATGTATAAGGATCATGTTGTCTCCCTAGTGTAAGAAGCTGAAAGAGTAAATAAAATCTCAAAGTTACAATAGATACTGTGAAAGGGAAGTAAACTGCTTAAAGGGAAAGAACAACTGGGATGAGAGAAAGGAGACAAGAAGGAAGAAAGAAAGGAAGGAATGAAGGAAGGAAGAAAGGAAGGAAGAAAAAAATACATATATACAAGTAGCTAAGATAATTGTAATACTAATTTCTATTGGTTTACAAAAAGGAACAGTAAATGTTTCATTGTTTGGTCAATCTTGTATACTATATCTGGTAATCTGAACAACTACTTTGAAGATAACAATATGTAATACAACAACCATTGTTAATTTCCTATCATCTTGTTTTGAAATTCTGGATTGTCTTTATTGCTTTTGTGTTGTTTTGTTTTTGTCTTTGTTTTTGTTATTTTGTTCTTGTTCTTTTCTCTTTAAAATAAAAAAATTTATATTAAAAAAAATAAAAACAAAAAAATAAAATTTGAGGTCCTGAAAATAACTGAGATATTCATAAAAATGACAGTGACAATAAGCTACATGATAATTACTAAGAAAGATGGGAAATTTACATAATTAAATAGTTAAATAATTTAATCTCAAAAAGTCAACTGAATTCAGCCTAGAATATGTGAAACATGCTGATTGGGCAGGAGGTGGGTAGCATTTTATTTCAAGTGGGTTTTAGAAACTAATCAATCCATGAGTTATTGCTAGAAAGATGGCACAACTGAACAGACAAGCACAGAACACTATATACTATAAGATGTCCAGTGGGAAAATAATCATAAACTAAGAGGCAATAAAGGGCATACTCTTTTGGGGGAAAAAGAAATCCAGTAATTTGGTATCCTACAAGAAAAGAGCAAAGGTGTTTAGTACTAATTGATCTAATGAAAATTTGGTTCTTACCATTCTTCACATTCTATGATGTGGATGTATTTAAAGCTAGCCAGTAATTCTTTTAGGGCCATATCCATGAGTAAAATATAAAACTACATTTAAAATATAAAACTACTGGATATAAAACTACATGAAATACACAGAAAACAGATTAACAATGACACACATATACCTTAAGTGGATCTGCTAGTTCTGACAGTTGATTAACTTTCAATTTAATTGTATCGTACTTGTTTTCTGCTTCTATTTTCAGACTTTTAAAATGTTCCAAAATTTTTTTTTGTTGCTCCATCTGTTTCTCAGTCATTTTCATTTTGATTTTATTGTCATGAGCTTCCTCTTCCTGACAACATTTAAAGAGTTCACAGTTAATATACTTAAGTTATCAAAAAAAAAAAAATTCTGAGGAGAAACAACAGACTATCACCAAATTAGATAAAAGATAAACACAAAAGACTAAAGTATTTTCACACTCACAATAGTAAATTAGAAAATAAGTTAAAAAATAAGAGATGACATTTGGCAGACAGGTTAAACAACACTCTGCTGAGCTGATAATCAAAAGGAGTAACTTATTCCATCTACTCACCTTTCGTTATATACTTAGATGTGTCTATAAACATCTTGTGTAACACAATGTGTCAGACACGAAGTTATCAAAAATTAAGACATATTCTATGCCTTTGTGAAACTCAGTTTATCAACAGAAGGAATTAACGCAGAAAAATGAAAAATGGAAAAGTAGAAACAAGAATACCAGCAAAAAAACCACAACAATTCTCATTAAAATAAAGCTTTATCAGCACAAAGAATTTTCCTGTTTTGTTCACTGTTTATTCCTCAGTACTTAATACACTGTCTGATGGAGTGGATCCTCAGTAAATATTCATTCATTTTACCAAGACTCATATTTTAGATCACTATTTACTGCACCTTGGTAAAAGCTAAGCTTGAGTGTCGTAAACGGGTAGCCCTGACATCTCTGTACACTCATACTAATCCTGTTTTAACTCTGAGAGTGCCTATTTGAAAAACATCTTGTTTGATAACTCACTGTTGAAAAGCGAAAGTTCTGATAGTTTTCTTTCAGGTGCAAGATAAACTCTATTATGCGTATGTTATATACACAGAACATTAAGAAATCTGAAACTCTGCATCAGGTAGCTCCTTCTATTGTATTTATGAATGGAGACAGCAATCAATGATCACTGAAGTTACAATCTATTGCTAAGTGTATGTTTACTAAATTATAAGTTTATGATTATTAAATTTATGATCTCTAAAGTTACTGAGTAATTTTAATTAAAAGAATTTTTAAAAGCACTTTAATTGAAGAAAAACATTTACCAAGGTTGCAATATCTATAGATTTGTGTTCTTCTATATTCTCAAGTTCCCGAATTTCAGAACTACTTTTTCTTATTTTCATCTGAAAGAAAAGAATTTAGAATTTAGTAACATAAAAGTAATAAAAACCTTAGAAAGCATGTACTAATACATAAAACTCTACTATGTTTTATGACATATCAATGAAAGAAATGTATTAGCATTAAATGAATTAAATGGAGGTTAAAAATTCTGCCATCATCATCCTTGCTGCTAATCCATCCCCATGAGAAAGGTTGCAAATTGTCCATTTTGGCATTTAAAATGATGACAGTACACAGAAAAAATATTTTTTAAAATACCCCAAGTCTCAAGTCATTAGAATTCTCTAACCCAATGGTTCTCAAAGGAAGAGCCAAGTAACCCTTGAAGGCCCCTAAGATCTCTTTAGCAAATCCATATGGTCAAAATAATCCATAAATCACTACAGTATTTCTCACACTTTTACTAGCACTTTTGTCACCTATGTGCAGGTAATCTATAACTAGATGATGCGTAATATCACAACAGACTGCATTTCATTAAACCACACATTAGAGATTACAAAAATTAAAAAGTACCCATCTTCATACTGTATCTTTTTGGCTTTGAAAAACATATTGTTATGTTATTTGTAAATTAGTAAATACTCTTCAATTTTGTTTAAGATTTGATATAACCAAAGACCAAGAAGCAAAAATTTGTTTTAATTTTTAAAAATATAAATATTAGTAGATATAACAAATATAAATGAAAACTTGTCTGAGAACATAAAAAAAGGTTGAGGTCCATGTGTCTGAGAACTACTGCATGAAGTGAACAACAATATTTTAAAATTAATTTCAGAGTAAGTTGAGAAAAAGAGAATGATTTTTTGGTTTTTACCTTTAACTCTTTATAATGCAGCTGGCACCTTTTAAGAAGTTCTTCATTTTGTTTAATATCCTTTTCACGAGCAGACAAATGTTGCTGAAGATGCACTATTTGGGCTTTCTTATTTTCAACTTCATTCTCCAAGTTGCTTAATAGAGAAAAGTGGATCAAAAAACACTTTAGATATATTTCTCAACATTACAAATATCTGCAATACTTTATTTACAAATTCTTAATCTGTTACACCAGTTTATTACCCTACCAAATTATTAATAACATGAAACTCTATTACAGAAATACCAAAAAATGTTTTCAAAGATGGAATCAAGTTTAACTTATTTTCCTAACAAGTATTTATAATATGACCTTTCTGTGCCAGACATCTTACATGGTTGTTGGATAAAAAATAGAATTAAGATACAACTTCTGAAAAGGAAGAAAATCAGGCAATAAACTGGACGGGACATAATGCTATATATGTCCACAGAACTATGGCAACACAAAAGTAAGGCTGGGAGAAGGGGCAACTGAACTGCATTCTTTAGGATTTGCATCCACTGGGCCTACCAGGAGACAATACAAATGATAAACACAGCTGTAACTAGTGACTCAACATTTCTTGTTGGAGAAAAAAAATGCCAAGAATGTATGTATGCGAAGAACAGAAAGAGCAGGCCAAGAAGAAGACCTGGAGAGCACAGGAGACAGATGCCACAGCTGTAAAGGGCCTCTGAGCAGCAGAGTCTCCCACCTCTGGGAACAATCCTACTGCCTCACTGATCAGGCTCCTGGTCTTCCGAACTTGTGTGCTTGTGAGGAACTTTTTCCTGGTCAAGAGGGTAGGCTCTGATCAAAATGCATTGGTGTTAGCTGGGTGTGGTGGCACATGCCCATAATCCCAGCGTTTGGGAGGCCAAGGCAGAAAGATTGCTTCAAATTCAAGGCCACCCTGGATTACACAGTGTGTTTAAGGCCATCATGAACTATGTAGCAAGGGCCTCTCTCAAAAACCAAACCAAAAAAATACATCGTACTCATGGAACCCCTGCCTCAAACCCCCAATGTGAAACTACAGCAGAGGTGGGGCGAGGGGTTAGTAAGGGGGTGAAAATGATTAAAGTATGTTATATGCATGTATAAATGTGCCAAAATTGGACTGATCAATCTGTATAACCAATATGCACTAATAAAAAAAGCTAGGGAAAAAATACACCACATTATATAATATCTCTAGAATCTGAAACCATTTTCCAGCCCACAGTTCAAAGTTAGCAGCATTTTGCTCCTTTTTACTGGCACATGAAATATATACTGGTTTATAAAACAACAGTGCTAAAAAACAACAACAACAGTGCTAACTTGCTGGAATTTTCAAATTTAAAAAAAACTTAATAAATGTTAGTTGGATAGATAACAAATGAATGATAAAAATGGAAAAAGAGAATAGTTGCACCATTTCTGACAAAAACTAGACCAGATGCAAAATTTAAATATGGCTCCACACTTAAAATGAAATATTTATTTTATCATATATAAGTCTAAACCTTCATTAACAAACAGTACTGTTGCTAAAAACAAGATTTACAAAGTAAACAAATATGGAAAGTTAACAGCCTAAATCAAAACAAAAACCAACAAAATGATCAAAGACAACAGAGTTATTACATAATTTTCTGAACATTCGGAATACAATCAAGCAACCAAAATAACTCATCCACAAAACTGCTAATTTTACAAGATCATTTTGCTATCTAGGATAGCTAGTCAAGCATTAAAGGAGAAAGAACATTCGCCACCTAATGGAAGACAAAGTCTGAGCTAAGTGTGTGGCCACCTGTGGGAGCCAAGCACTCTCAAGAGCGCTGCTCCTCTCGCCCTGCACTGTTCTCTACCCATCTGGTCTGTGCAGTGCTGACACAGAGTCCACCTCTTCCTCCTCCCCAACCTGAGCTCTAGGAGTAGAATTTTTGCGCTGTTTCCAGCTGTGCCACGTGCCTACATCAGTGCTCAGCGTATCAGGTAAACACTAAATACTGTGGTTTAAGGGAATCAATGGAAGTATAAAATTTGAGAAACACTTTTCAAAAGTATGTAAAATGTTAGTTTTTTGACAATTCAAAAATGTGCAAATATTTAATGAACTGCAGTAGTATTCTGAAAGCTTGCTTACACATCATGTGTACTTTCATACCCACAAACTGCTTTGGGATAAACAAAATCAAGTGCCATAATATGCAGGTTGCTCATCATTCAACTTTTTTTCTGTTGCTAACTAAGCAGTTTTACTCACCTTTCCCATATCTGTTAGTTATTTTATCCTGCACTCATAAATCATATGAAAATAACCAATATTACTTGAAAATAAGAAACTTATTTTAACAAAATTCTCATTTCCTGTACATATTTACACAAGTCATACATTGGAATGTTTATTTTTGCTCTATTTTCTTAGATATTTCTTGTACTGAAGTTCTGTTTTGGTTAAGATTGTCTAAGTCATTAAATCAGGTCCACTCATCAATTCGTATTTAGTTGAGAAATTCCGTTTTTTACAATGCCAGACAGTCTTTTTGCACACTTTTAAATATTATTAAATATCTTACTAGTGTTTTGTTTGATTTCTCAATGTCTCCTTAACTAGCAGCTCTGTTTTCCTAGGCATATGTTTTAGTCATGTTGACTGATCTTTCTGAACAGTGCAACCCAAGTATCTGTCAAAGACAGAACAAGGAGCCTGAGCTACAAACTAGCAGCACCTCAGACCCTCACTGAGAAAAACAGCTCAGCTCAGCAGTGAGCACAATGATGCAGCTCATTCACATTCTCAACTGACTCCTTTTCCTTGTAGACAGGTAATAATGCACAGATGAGCTAGTCAAGACAACACATTTTCTATTCTCAGACCTGAATGCTGTTGGCAAAGGGATGGTGGAAAGTACCTGTCAACCTGTAAGTCCACATTTAGCTAAATGACCTTTTAGGACCAAACACTGAGATAATTACTTACAGTCTTCCCTGAAATAACCACTGAGTAATATGAAAGAGACGGAAATTCAAAGCAAGCAACAGGAGTAATATATTAAAGCTAGACATGACTCCAACCTTATTTCAGAATCCACATCTCTGGTCAGGAATTTAGGTCTTGTATTTTCTGATGAATAATAACGGCCTGCAAAAACCTGATCACCATCAGCAGTAAAAGCTTCTCTACAATTTTTGGGTGGCTTCTGGGACTGCATTACTGCACGAGCTACAGAATTACTCTAGAAGAAAGGCAAAAATACATTTTTAAAATAATGTCAAAGCATTCCCGATGGACAAAATTTTGAAATATTAACTGTCATTATTTGAGATAATCTGAGGTATTCTTTTTTATTTTAAAGAGAAAAAATAATAAAAACAATGCTACAGCATTTCAAAACAAGACAATAGATTAACAATGGTTAATATATTGCATACTGTTATCTTCAAAATAGTTACTCAGATTACAAGAGATAGGCACGAGGGCTGGGGATATAGCTCAGCGGCATATGCACCTGCCTGGCAAGCGCAAGGTCCTGAGTTCAATCCCTGGTACCACAAAAAAAAAAAAAAAAAAAAAAAGAGGTATGAAAGATTAATCAAATATAAGCACAAACTGTTCTTTTTAATGACCAATAGAAATTAGTAGCAAATTTATCTTAGCTATCTTGTATATGTATATATATATATATATATATATATTTTCCCCCCTTTCTTCTTTTCTCCTTTCCCCCATCCCAGCTGTTCTTTCCTTTTGACCAGTTTCTTTCCCTTGCACTGTACCTACTGTACATTTTGGATCTTATTCTTTCAGTGTCTTACAATAGGGAGACAATACAGTATTTACACATGCACATCTTATTTCACTTATGAGTATGGTCTCAAGCTGCAACCATTTCCCTATAAAAGCCCTGAGTTTACCCTCTTTATAGCTGAGTAGTACTCTATTGTATAAAAATACCAATTTTTTTATCCATTCCTTGGTTGACAGGCATTTGGGTTGTTTCCAAGATTTAGCTATTATAAATTGTGCTGCTATAAACATGGGTGCACATATATCACTTTGGTATGATGTTTTTAATTCTTCCAGGAAGATACCCAGAAGGGGAATAGCTAGGTGGAATGGGACTTCTAATCCTAGTTTTTTGAGGACTCTCCACTCTGATTTCTACAGTGACTGCACCAGTCTGCACTCCCACCAACAGTGGAAAAGGGTTCCTTTTCCCCCACATCCCCTCCAGCACTTCTTACTGGTTGATTTCTTGATGACAGCCATTCCTTCTGGGGTGAAATGAAATTATTAATAATAATATGTGTCCATAGTAATTGTGTCCACTGGAAATTATTAATAACAATTACAATTAATATTATTATTAATTAATAATAATACAAATTATTTTAATTTGTATTTCTTGAATGACCAATAATGTTGACCATTTTTTCATATATTTACCTGCCATTTGTATTTCTTCATCTGAGAAGTGCAAATTCATCTCAGATGCCCATTTTTGGATTGCATCTTTGAATTTTGGGGGCCTGATTTTTTTCAGTTCTTTTTGTTTTAGATAGAAGGCCTTTGCCTGAGGAATTTTAAGCATTCTTATTTAAATATTCAAATAGGATCATTCCATTAACTTAAATGTAAGAATTTTTAAAAGTTCCAAGATTCAAAAAATTAAAACTATTATTTAAAATAACTTAGTATACAATACTTCTTGACAAACTGGTATGTCTTATTTTTAAATTTTAGTATTACTATCCACTAAAATTCAAAAATTATTAATTTGTCATATAAATATCTTTACTTTTGACAAGTTCATACAGATATTACTTTTTCTAGATGACTTTTACACCATGGAAAAGATATGAGTAACTAGCAAATCCCAATAAAGATTAGTATGTCAAATTACACAAAGAAAGCCAGTAAATATGAACTGGAAAAAGTAAAAAGTGGATTAGGGTTAGTCAAGGCCTATTCACCTTCTTATCATTACAATATTATTTACTTTCAAGCACTCTTCTAAAACATGAGTGCCACACTCACAAGTAATTACAATATGACCTTGCATACACGCACATTCGGGTTACAAAGACCTTTACTTTTCAGTTTCTGCTAATGAGAAAAACAGATTTTATTATGTTGTCTTTATTCTATACTTCTGTTTCAGGTCTCCTTGTATGCTGCTCAGCAAAATTATGCCAAATGAGAAAACAGAATATGGCAATCTAATCTGAAAAGTATATAAAAGTACATACATAGATCAAGAGTAAAGATTTGTTTTACAGAGCATAAAGTTATAAGAAAAAGAATTCATAAAGTACTTTATTTAAAAAGTATAACTGTTATGGCTCATACCTAGATGTCCCCCCAAAAACTCCTGTAGTCATAGGTGGGGCTTTCCAGAGGTGGCTGGATCTAGAGTGTGTCATGCTGGAACAAGGGTGTGTGATTACTAAATTAGTCCACTGACTGATCTGGCTCGGTTCTGAGTGTGGATAATGGGAAGGCCAACCCCGGTTGGGAGTGCTACCCACCATAAGGACGTGTACCTGGATAGAATATAAAGGACAGAAAGAGGGCTTGCTGCTTGCTACTTCACTGCTGGCTGCCTTCTGCCTGCCCTGCTTTGCTATGAACTGCTTCTCTTCTATGATGCCCTTCTGCCTTGGAGTCAGCCAACTATGAACTAAAACTTCTATAAACTGTGAGCCAAATAAACCTTGCCTCCTTTAACTTTAGTGTCAGGTATTCTGACTTAGGAAGTAACTAAGACAATACGTAAATCAATAAGGACAAATAAAAAAGGGATTTGGCAGCCAATGAATGAATCTCAAGGGATACAGCTCAGCAGCACAGCGCCTGCCTGGCAAGAACAAAGTCATGAGCTTGATTCTTGGTACTAAAAAAAAAAAGCTGGGTGTAGGGGTGCATGCCCGCAATCCCAGCACTCGGGAGGCTGAGGCAGGAGGATTGTTGCAAGTTCGAGACCAGCCTGAGCTACAAAGTGAGCTCAAGGCCAGTCTGAACTATATAGTAAGACCCTGTCTCAAAAAAGGCAAAAAGAAGAGGAATCAAATTTTTTTACAGCTATATGCACCAAAAGAATAGAATCTATTTGTAAAATTATTTTATAAAGAGTAGCCCAAAGTTGTAAAGACCTCTGGGAAAGAAAATACAAACTAGCCAGCTCTATATTATCCTACAGATTTTTCTATGAAGTAAAGTGCAATGGTTTTATCAATAACTTTATGCTAAAAAAGTAACAGGAATTTATAAACCAATTGTGCTTTGAATGTTTAAAAATAATCTATTTACAGCAAGCACGCAGTCTTACTTTGATTAGCAGCACAGTCTCTATGTTCCTCATGTCAATCAGGCTGTTTGCAACAACGGCATTGTCTATTTCTAATGCTGTCAGAACTGTTGGAAATTCTGGATGATGAACAGCTCTAGGAGACAAAAAAAAGAAAGAAAGAAAAGGCTTAATTTACCAAACTTTAACTATACAAATATGTAATGTATAGACATAAAAGTTGTATGTATTTTAATGGGTAAGTAGGTTATAAGACAATATAGAGTATCTGATAGCATCTAAAATATGTAACAAACTTATTTACACTTCAAAGTTATAATTTCCTTAAATCTCATACTGCAATCATTAATGTAAAAGTCAAATAAGATACATTTTAAATAGCTGAACAAGAAAAACCAAAGCAAAATTTATTATCAACAGAGAAAGAAAAGATATGCTTATGAAATGAAATTTGGGCTCCTTCAAAGGCGATTCAATCTTTCCATTAAAAAGTTAAAAATGCGCTATTGAAAGCACTGCCTAAACATGGATATGTTAAGAAGAGTAGGTACAGGAGCAACAAATGCCCAAGGTGGAATACAGGTACTATTCTTATGCTTTCTTAGTCGTAGATGTTCAATACAAGGAAAATATCTGTTTATACTGTGTATGTACTATACTTTCGTATTAACTGAACAAGTATTTACCGACCTACTATGTGCTAGGTGCTGTTCCAAAGGTCAGAGAGTGCCCTAAAGAAAACATACTGTGTCATCTTCCTCGTGGAACGTACAATTTTATTAAAGGAAAAAGGTGGCAAAAGTAGGATATATTGTTTTTCACACAAAAAAAGTGGAAGCCTCGTTCATGTGACACTGGCAGACACTAAGGAAGGGGGGAGCAACTGCAAAGGCCCTGCAAAGGTCATGAGTGAAAGCAGCCAGCTAGTGTGCTGGAGTGGACTGAGCAGTAAGGGAACCAATCACAGAGACAGATGATGGGAAAACAGCTCTTGGGGCCCCAGAGGTCACTGGCAGGCCCACAATAAAGGCAACTGAAGAAGTTTGGGGTGCTTTCCAGAGAGCAGTGACAGGACTGACTTGGATGCTGCCTGCTATACAAGGAGTGAAATTAGGGGAACTAGAAGCAGGAAAATCAGTCTATCAATTACAACATTGAAGTGAAGCATGAAGAAGGCTGGAACCACACTGGAAGCCACAGATATCAGATCCTGGAGATATTTTTAAAGTACAGCCAACAAGTATATGGAGTCAAACAGATTGATATGTTTAGGTTGATTAAATGAAAAAGACAGACAGGATTACAAGGGTGAGTTTGAGGGTAGAGATTAGTTCAGCTTTTAGATTTATTAAGTGCAGAATGTCAGTATAAGTGGAAAATAGATATTAAGTATACTGTATTCTACAGTTCAAAAGAAGTAGCCGAGTGGTGATGTACCTTGATAATCAGGAATATGAGATCTGTATTTAAAGCCACAAAACTGGAGCACTCACGTAAGGAGGACATAAACTTTAGGCCGAAGTCAGGAGCACTGGTACAGTCAAGGTGAAGAGGAACAGGAAGGTACTAAGAAAGAACACCTAGGGAATAGGTAGATCAGAGGAATGTGGTCCCTAGAACCAAGTGAAAACATATTTTAAGAAGAATAAAATCATCAGCAAGATCAAATATTTAGATAAGCCAAGTCAACAGATAGTAAAGGCTTTTTTTTTGGTATCGGGAATTGAACTCAGGACTTTGCACTTTCCAGGAAGGTGCTTATGCCACTGAGCTATATCCCTGGCCCAAGGGCTGACTATTAAATGAGGCAATGTGAGAACTGCTGTTACCTTGACAAGAATGGTTTTGATATGTGGTGCAAAGTCTAGACCTGAGTAGGTTCAAGAGAAAAGGGAAAGAGAAAAACCGGGAAACATAGACAACTCTTAAAAAGTTTTCTCATAAAGGAAACAGAAATGAGACAGTAATAGCTAACTAAATGACCTTCTAGGATACAGTTCTAGTGCAAGTAAAAACACGAGTAGAAAAGACCAGGGGATAGTGTCAGTGAAACAAAATCGTGAATGAGCAGGTAAAGAGAATAGAAAGGTGGGGAAAGAGGTAGTGGACTCTGGTGACAGCTGAGCAGGCACATGCCATCATTACATGGAGATGCTACCATCAGCTTGCTCTCAAACACAAGACCGTTCATGTCTACTTGCTGTTTTGGGGACTGACTTGGTACTGGGTTACACTGCAATTAATTTATCAATTAATTACAGGTTAAGAGATGGTATAAAATCAGTCTAGAAAAATTGTAAGACAGAATTTTAGCAGTAAGAGTCAGTGGCAGGAGACAAGAAGAGCATGATATGGAGTAGGTTCACCAAATCAAGTAGAAAGCCTAAAGAAAACATAGGTGCAAAAGAAACCATGAAAAATCTGGGGAACCACATAATAACCTTCACCAGTAAGAGTAGTTCCAGGAAAACATTATTTTATGACCCTAATGAAGTTTTTTTAAAACATCATTTAGAAACATTTATGATTTCTAAAAGCCTAATAGAAGTAAAAAGGCACAACTGAATTTAAACATTAAAAAAATTTTAAAAATATATCACACTTTTGTTAAGGAATTTTTGGGGGCCGGGTACTGGGAATTGAACTCAGGACCTTGCGTTTGCCAGGCAGGCACTGTGCCTCTGAGCTATATCCTGGCCCAATTTATCACGTTTTTAAAGACTCCAAATAAAAGAATAAAGAATAGAAAAAAAGAGAAGTGACGAAGCACACAGCTGTAGGAAGCACTATAACAACAGGGGTAAGAAATGAAGAAAAACAAAATAGGCTGAAAAAGATGCAAGTATAGAAAAAGAACCAAGAAAATGGTGTCATAGAAACAAAAGGAATCAAGGTTCTAAGGTATAGTTATTCCCTAAGAGAAAGTAAACATACACAAAAGTATATGCACGCCCCAGAGCCACAGAGTAGTGGACCAGGACATGACGGCACACTGCACCCCATGTGAAGACTTTGGCCTTGTACTTTTAAAGTGGAAAGAAGCTGATAGAACCTGAAGCTCAGGAGAGATTGTTTTAAAGTGGCTCATGAATCAGACAAGACTGTATGCAATTCACAGGAGAATTAATAACCTTAGAACATGTCTTTACTGAGAAGGTAAAGAGTACATATGCAGCCATGATAGGGTGGGGAACAGCAAGGTAAGTAGTTCCGTTGCCTCTACTTCTAAAAAGAGGAACTGGCCATCTTAACAGAAAAGGGAGTACATTTCCTGACAATCTCCCTGAGAGCTTGGCACATTTCTAGGCATCTTTGTTAAGGTTGTCTAGTGTAAGAATAAATGAAGGGAACTAGTCCTATCTGTCCACGTGAACGCAGTGGTCTCACTGTACTTGTTAACTGGTTCTGGGAGGTGCAAGGGGTACCAAATAAACCATTTTGGCTGGGATGGGGGTAGCACGTCATGAGGCAATTGACACCCACAGGTTCTAACCTGTGCAGACTACCAAACAGATCACAAGGACTGAATACAATATGTCAAGATGTGCTGAGTACCAAAATAGCAACTTTTTAAAGCACTTATGTACTAGGCTGCAACTGTAGTATTTTACATAAAATAACATGTCCAACTTTTAAACTCAGCATTTTAATCACAATTTTTAGTTCACACACACACCACTCATTTCAAAAAACGTAATGCAGCTATAAAATTCAATGAACATGCAAGATTCTTGTCAAATCCAGTCAACAGGCAAAATGCTTAGAATCTAAACTTTCACTATTCCAGCAACTGTGTGCCTCAGTGCATACTCTTGAAGCCAAAATATGAATTTTGCTATCACCTGAACCTGGACCTGTTCCTCAAGGTCTTTAAGTTCCTCAGTCTTACATAACTTCCTAACCTCCCAGGACTCGCTCTTTTCAACTACTCTCAATAGCATCTTCAACTGCTCCCATCTTCTCCTTCTGTCCAACCCACTCTCTAAAAACTGCTACAGTTGGGCCAAGGATATAGCTCAGTGGCATAAGAGCTTGCCTGGCAAGCCTGAGGTCATGAGTTAAATTCCTGGTACCAAAATAAATAAATAAATAAAAACAGCTCTGGAACTAATCCAACAGAACACATTCTCTACTGCCATCTACGGGTAATGCTACATAATTAGTAAACTACCCTGCAGCCCTGTACATTTCTGTATGCTAAGTGGGCTCTGAGTCAGCGTCCTCTCTCCTTCTTGGCAGTTGGTCCACACCATTTAACAGGTTAACTCCCAAGCCTCCTACCCAACTCCTAAAGCCCTCACTCTCAGCACATGAACTCACATACTTCCAAGATAATGGATGCTATACCACACTTAGTTCACCTCCACACCCCCTCACAGGGGATCACAAGAGCTGCGCTGCTAGGTGATTGGAAATCAAGTAGGCTGGTAGTGTGGTTTAGATCTAGATGTCCCCCAAAGAGCCTCCTGTGTTCATAGGTGGCACTTCTGGAAGGTCATGGATTATGGGGCTTAGAGTTGACTGCTGCTGGAGGCAGGGTCTGGCTGGAAGAGGTAGGTCATGAAGGTGAGATGTGGGAGGATGCACTTCCCTTCACTCTGCTTCCTGGCAACCAGGAGCGAAGTAGCACCCCTCTGCCAGGCCTTTCCACCAGGGGGTCACTTTTACTATAGCAATTTGGTAGCACAACTGAAATTTCACTTTCACTAGTTTAGAAACACGGGATCAAAGCTGGAAATAAACATAAATCCTCATGCAAAGAGAAAAAACATTTTACCCCTAAATCCCAAATACTTCTCTCTAGTCTAAAAACTAAAAAATCAGTACTTCCAAACAGGACTTAACTCACTTCTGATGAATCTACTTTTTTTTCTTTGTACTTCTGCTAAATCAATTGATGGCACACCCCTTAACTACTCTGGCCAGAAACCTAAAGAACATACTTGACTCTTCTATTACATTCAAATAATAAGTTTCATTAATTCCTAAATATCTCTTAATTGATTCCTCCTTATCAACATTGCAAATGATGCTTTTTGTAAAATAATTTACAGTCACACCTCCATGGATCTTTCACATAGAATTTTACTTGCCTAGGAGCAAGTTAACCTATCCTGTCACTTACAAGACTGACAGTTTCTCACCAACTATCTACCACAAAGAGTGATCTAAAAAATATGGTGAATGTTTGAAACACACACTGCCAAGAACAACAGGATGTGTTCAAAGCAAGGGGCAATTGGGAGGGTATGATTAACAGCAAGGTGTCATTTACTGTAATAAATTTTAAAAATTTAAACATTCACTTTATTTTTTGTTCTCCCCATTGATCAAATGTTTACAGCAATTTCTGTTGAACAAAAACATTACTATGTGTCCTCATCCACTTTATTCACCAGGTCTGGCCCTCTGTGACTCCAGCTTTTTCCCAATGTCAAAATGTCTAGAAAAGGGAAGTGAGTGAATCAACTGAAGATATCTATGCCTCCTAGAATGACATCACGGCTAAAGGCACTCATGAAAGAGGACTCTAAAAATGCTTCAAAGAGCAGCAAGAACGATGGGATAAATATGCTCAAAATTAGAGTATTTTTGAGGGACGTTAATAACTGTGTCTTTAGCTGCAATACATTTTTTAAAATTTAAACACCCTTGTTTCCCACCACAGTTCATGAAGTAGCAACTTCCTCATCTGAACCACATTTGCATCTTATATAATTTACCAATGTCAGAAGGAAGTCTTAAAAAGATAATTAGTGTTTGCACACAAATTTACTCAAATACAAAGGACATAGCATTTGACTTACCTTTCTTTTCTTAAAAAAGCTAAAGTAGGATTCATAGGAAAAAGTATAACCACGAGAAATTTTACAATGTGCTCGGAGAATAGATAAAAACTTTATTTTCTTGAAAGAGTCTGGCTATGTTTGCACAGACTGGCCTTGAACCCCTAGACTCAAAATCCCTCTGCTTCCTGAGCAGCTGGGACAACAGGCATGCACCAATGCCTGTGGCTCATGCACATCCACTTCAAAAGTAGTGTTCATCTAGTAGTTACCCGAAAAATCAGTTTGGGGATAGTGCCTTTGGGAAAGTTTCTTAGGGTTATTTAAGAAAACAAAACTCTCTGTGAATTCTGTGAAAATATTCTGAGAGTTTAATTCAGTAATGAGAGCCAGTGTTCTTCCTTATGATCTCTGCCCTCATTTGGCTAGGTCGGTACCATTTCCCGTATCAGTGTAATTTCAATGCTATATAGTGTCTGGTTCTTTGAACAGTCTTCCCATAATAGACTTCATGGAAAAACCTCTAAGTTTAAAATAAGAACCTCTTTCTACATTTCTCCCATGCCTAGAACTAAGGCTCAGCCTGAAAACAAAGTGGCTTAATGAAATTTTACAGTACTGAAGACACACTTAACATAAAGTGTTTTAACTGTTTCCAACCTTGCACATGATAATGAAAAACCAGAAATATTATTTTAATTTGATTACCTGTGTCTTACATCATACATCTCATTCTGGAATTCTGAAACTATTATCTGTGGTCGTGAGGCCCCAGGTGAATAGAACCTTTTCATTAATGCCTGAAGCACCCTTTCATCGGCATGATTATGGCAGCAATAGGCTTGCAGAAGTCCTTTCAAGCAAGATTCAATAGCCAAGGCAAGTTCAGGGTCCCGAAGGTGAATGCAAGCTCCTGAAAGTGACAGAAAGTTATAAAGAAAGGCTCGTATTTATTTGGAAAATTAATATATTCTTTCTTATAACAATTTATAAGCAACAATATTAAAATATTTTCAGTATTTTAAATGATGTTACATCTCTTATTTTCAGAGTTGGAAATCCCCACATATCCACTAGATACACAGAGGAAAATAGCCACAAAAGTTGGTGAAAAAAAACTGTTCCAGTCTAATGTACATCAACAGTAGCTTTGCTATGTAAGTTTATACCATTCAAGCTTCGCACTGATGCTTCAAAATCAAGTCAAAACTATTATTTTCTAGAAAACCGATTAATATTGGGAGTTTAGATAATGAAGAAAACTAAAATGGATCTCAATAGATAGGTACCTATCATTTAACACATTTCCACTAGCTTGAACACCAGTGGCACATGTACAACTGTCCCATCAGGTGGTACGAAACATGCAACGGGACATCATGCGTGTACCACTGGTGGTTCAGAGTCACCCGGCAGCAACACATACAAATTATAGCCCCGTTTGTGAATGTATTCAGTGAAGAAACATTACTGTCATCATTAAAAGTAATTTAGTAATAAAAAGTATTTACAGCATCATCACCTAATGATGTACAGAATTGGAGGTAACTCCCCAGAACTTGACTAAAAACTTAAAAAAAAATCTCATGTGTAAGAACATAACTCAACAACCACAGCTTTTACAACTGAAAGATTGGAAATCATTCTGTACAGTCTAAATAAAACCTAAGAGTTAAAAATCATCTTATAAAGGCTATATAAAATTCAGATGAGTGTTCCTTTCACTGTATCATGATACCATTTGATTGTCTGATTAATCGATTATATTCAAATTAGTTTATTCACTTAATTCAGGAGAAAAATAACCAAATGAGTTAATGCTATAATTCCTTTCCCTTAGGGTGTTTTGTGCTTCAGAAGTTCAAAGGAAAACTACAAAGTTTAAAGTGACTTTACCATTATTTTTTAAAATTTGTACAATTAAAGACCACATATATTACTGTAACTAAATTAAGGAGACCCTTTCCTGACAATAAAATTTATTTCTAATGTTTACTATACCCTCACTAAACCATGACAAATACCTAAAGGGCCTACAGGTTTATGGGTAAAATATCCCCGTCGGTAGGCATCATCTATTGCTTCCAGAAGAGCTGGAACGTTAGGACCAAATCGTTTTAGTCGATCAGTTTTACTATCTTTTAATTCTTTCAGTTGCCTCTGATTATAGTTCAGTGCATGCTTCACATCTAATTCTTCTCTCCTAAAAAAACCAAAAGCAGACAAACAAAACAGGTGATAGTTACATAGAAATATTCTTCAGCATATCCATAATACCTGCATACCAATGAATACCCACCTATCCTAAAAACTAAAAATAGAATCTTTATGTGAAAATAATTACATTATCAAACAAAAATAAGTCAGTAGTCCTCTAACCTCAGTATGAAAATGGTAATGAACAGGGAATCCCAGAAACTGTCCAAATACACAAGCATAAGAACTTAAAGTGACTTTAAAAGATCTCTTACTTATAGAAGTAACAAATCATGCTTTCTCTTCATGTACAGAGCAAAGCTATATGCAAGTTCAAGTAGTAATTGAAAAAAATATAGAGGCTATTGCAGCTTACCTAATCCTCTCGTGCTCTGCTCTGCCCTTTTCTATAGCCTGCTGAAATTGCTCCATCTCTTGATTGACTGCATTTTCCTGGTCTTGAAAGGCCTTTAATCTCTCTTTTAACCAACATATTTTTTTTTGCCTTTCCAACCGTTCTGTTTCCAAAAACTGATCAGCACTAACAGTAAATATAAAATTTAAAAATGTTAAATTAAAAAAGCTAATATTTAACAAGCATAAACCAATATATTCCACTTACACCTAGATTCCTTTAAAACAAAATGAAGAAATAATGAAAACTGCAAAGTAATTATCCTACCTTTTTTTAAGTTCTTCAATTCTTTTACAAAGCTGCTCGTCATCTTTCTTTAATGCTTTATATTCATTTAGGGAATGGTTATATAAAACCTAACCAAAAAATTAGATATAACTTCAGTAAAATGAAAAATGAATTATCCCTTCAAGCCCACTTTTGCAAATTTTCAAATTGCAGGATGAGAAAGACCACTTGGAATAAGGACATTTTTTTAAGCTGGGGAAGCATCAGAACTACTTGGAATGACAGATGGGCACTCTTTGTACAAATGCACTCTGCAGTTTTTAATGCTCCAGGTTGGACATTTCTCTCACCTCAGCTTCATTATAGTCCCTTTTCTTAGCAGTGACATCTGCTTTTAATGCCATACATTCTGGTGCTCGTGCATTCGTCTCTTGACTGATCTTTTCTAGTTTATCCTGAATATCTTTGTATTTTTTTTCTGCTTCATTGAGTCTGACCTTTAAGAGAATAACATTATTTGAGTATATTTTATTTTTCTCCAATAAAGAGAAGCAAAATTTAAATTATAGTCCAAACGCAAACATGAATTTCACTTCACATAAAATATTAAGTAAGCAAGCATAGCTATAAATAATACCAAAATATAATTTCATTTTAATCTATGATTATCCAACAAATGTGGTAATCCTCTAGGGGTACAAAGATACAAGTGCATTCAAATGAGACAATTAAAGGGAGACAGACACAGTTTGGTAGAGAAACTGACAAGATGGTGGTAAAGTTTGTACACAGCACTGCTCAGGATGTCTGCCGGCTGTGGAAGCCAAACAGGAAAGATAACAGTGGGAGATGGAAGACGGGGTAGAGGGCCTTGCCTCCCAGAGTGAACAGTTTCGAAACAGCTTAAAACAATCATCTAGACTACAAAAGGACAAAATATATCCAAATTTGCAAGTTGGGTCATTCTGGAAACACTTAGAAGGCAAGGAGCAAGAAAAGTACCACAAGAAAAGGTTTCAGTAAATTAATACAGTATTGTGTAACAAAAATCTTAAGGGATTAAAGCAAAACACTGATAAACAGACAAGGATGAGAAAAGACAAGTATGAGAACTGTTTAGATCACAGGTCAGCAAATGCCTTCTATAAGGAGCCAGACAGTGCAAACTTCAAGTGCTGTGAGCCATACAGTCTTTGTCACAACTACTGAATCCTGCGATTGTTGGCACGAAAGTATCCGAAGGCCAACATGCTGAAAAATCACTTTTTTCAATAAAAACTGAAGTTAGATCCAGGTGTGTCACACAAACTAAACACAAAGCATGACATGATCACATTTTGTTTTAAATTAGGTTAACAAAAATTTAGAGTCAGCTTTAAACACTATTTTTCAGAAACTTCTATTAAATAGTCATTCTAAGGGGCTGGGGATTTAGCTCAGCGGCAAAGTGCCTGCCTGGCAAGCGCAAGGTCATGAGTTCGGTTCCCGGTACCGGAGAAATAAATAAATAAATAAATAAATAGTCATTCTACAAGCAATAAGAAAACATATACTTTGTGATGGGTTTCTCATAGGAAATTATAAGCAGAATGTAAGTATGAAGTAAGACAGCCTTTATCTTCCAGGAATCTGCCCTTTATGACAGAGTGCTCAAATGGTTAAGTGGGGCAAAGACCCACAGAACTAAACATCACCATCTGAAAAGAGGTGAGCATCCATCAGTCGGACTAGTTCAACTTTCAGACTGAGACATGTCTAAGAGGGAAAGTACTTAGGGCCTTCCACTACAACAAGCTGAGAAGAGGAAAAACACTGGAGAAGTTTACAGAATACTTTCACAGTAATAAAGTCTTAGGCAAGAAGAAGGAAGGACTGACCTTCTACTACCTGAAGAGGGCATAAGAAATTTAGGCCAAAATCACTAAGTAAATGTGCTCTCTACCATATCTATTATTTTTACGTATTCATTTATTATCTCTGATAGATTACTACCATAACCTTTAAAAAGAAAAAAAAATGCATCTGTTTATCTGGAAAGAAGATGGGAAGAAGCAAGCAGGGGAGGATTACATCCTATACCACACAGGTTTGTGGGCCAGAAGTTCCTAGGAAAAGCAGAGCACAATCTTAGGACCTAAGCAACCTACACTGACACACACACACAGTTCCTGGGGAGGGCAACTGTACAGAAAAAGGCAGGTGGTCTACTTTCACAGTATGACAGCATGTGTGGCTCCATCATTGGGGCTGCACAACCTTGTGAATGGCCTTAAACCCACTGGATGGTATACTTTAAATGGCATGTGAATTACACTGCCATGACCATGAAGATGTTCTAGAAAAGGCAAGCACAAAGAGCAGGCATACGAGTGGGAGCAACGTTCATGTGGAAACCCAAAAATGACTGCCGTGATTACTTATCATTCAACCTTAGAGCCGTGTGGAAGACTTATGTGACTTTCTTGGATTTTACAGTACTTAAAATCTCAGGTTAAAATTAACCTCTACTAAACTAACAAGCTACCTAACCTGTTCCACCTGTATGAAATTCTTTCAGACTGAGACGTCTCAGAGATTCTAGGTTCTAGGACCTAAAACTTAGCTCCCTTTGACTTCCATTAGAATCTCTGAGCACTATGCCCTTCTACTAATCTCAGTAGCTCTACCTCTCAGGGTTTTCGTGTATCACCTCTTTAACATTCCAGTATCTCTAGTTAGTTACAAAGTCCAAGTCCAAGAAATCTGCAGCCCCTGCCTAAGTCTTACTGCACTCAAACCTAGTACCTTTTTCAAGACAGCTGCCACAACAATCCTTGGAAAAGGAATAGATCTGCTTCAACTGAATAATAGTTCAAATTGATACAATTTCAAGTTAAACTGCCAGTTATAAAGTCTAATATCAGCAATTTCACAGAATTTCATCCACTCTATCTGTATAAAAAGAAACTACCTGTTGCTCCTCCATTTTCCTGTCAAGTCTAGCAGCACGGTCTTCTCCAATTTGGATATTATCTCTGATAGCATTCAACTGTTTTTCAATTTCATTGACCTGAAAAGAAATTATACAGCAAATCATTCAGACTAATAATCACCAAATACATTCTTTTTATTACAAATGTATGTGAACCAATAATCAGATGAAAATTACCACTGCCCAGGCCATTTCATGTTTCAAATACTCTAAATTAGTCTTCATTGTACTTAAACCAGCAATACTTTGAAAACGCTCCTCTTTCTCTAAACACTGGCGCTTTAGTTCAGTAAGTCGCTGAAAAGAAAAGATATATTTATTAAAATTGAGAGGAAAAAGAGACACTTTGCAAATGTACTTCTTTTGAAAGCAATGGCTACAAAAGTACTCCATAGAGGTTTATAAGAATTCCATTAAAGTGAAAATATTTGGTTCTTTGGTATACTTTTGATAGGTGCAATAATTTTGCTACTTTCTACACTATAAAAATGGCCAAAATATTCGTCAGATGAAGAAAAGTAAAGGTTCAAACTAACACAAATACAGACAAGTCCCTAAACTCACCTTACCATTTTCTCTCTTCTGTTTCTGAAAGGCTAGATTGCCTTTCTAGATAAAGTATAGCAAGCATCCATTCCAAAGATAATGAAAGGATCAAAAGGAATTTATTCTAAGTCAAATGATATAAATTTTTCATATTTAAGCTCTTTCAATAACTGATAAACAAAATATCAAATATTAAGAGTTATGTGACTAGAACAGCATATAGAGTGGCTTTAAAACTTCTGTACATCTGGGTAGTCCCTCCCTGTATGTTTTTCATATTCAACTAGTCTTAACATCTTGTCTTCCTACCCAACTCACTTTCTCTTTCTTTAGGATTATTTAAATACGCTACCACTTTCTTCAAACTGCATACTACTAATAGACTGATAGCCTACACACATTTATCAAGGCCAGATTTGACTTCTGTAGTCCTAATTCAGATATCCACTTTCCACTTTACAATTCCAGTGAGATGTCGTATAAGCACCTCAAAATTTATGTGTTCAAAACGGGATTTGTCTCTAAAAAAAAAATAGAAAGACAAAAAAAGAAAACCTGACTCTCCTTTTCACATTTCCTGTCAACAAATTTCCTCTCTTCCTGAGCTGGCTAACCTAGAGGTCATTCAGTCATTCTTGACCGTGTCCTCTGTTACAACCTTGCCCCTCTACACCTGACTCCAACTGCTACAGTCACTGCAAAGCTCTTCTTTCCCTTACTACTACCCATATCACCCCAAACCTAAGCCATCACCATCTCTATGGACACCAACGATGAAAACACTTTTTTTATTGATCTCTCTGTATCTGTTCTTTCCTACACGTCTCCTACAGAAAACCTACTGAAAATAGACATTTAACCAAGTCGTCTACTTTAATGTCTTATACCACCCTTAAATCTTGCAAGGCTTTGCACAATCTGGTATCTCACTTTTCACTCTGGTACTCTTCAATGCCTACAAAAATAGTCAATCAAAAACTAGCCAATCTAGCCGGGCGAGGTGGCACACGCCTGTAATCCCAGCACTCAGGAGGCTGAGGCAGGAGGATTGTTGTGAGTTCAAGACCAGCCTGGGCTACAAAGTGAGCTCAAGGCCAGCCTGAATGGCATAGCAAGACCCTGTCTCAAAAAAAATAATAATAATAAAAAGGACAAAACATAAACAAACAAAAAAAACCTTAGCCAATCTAGAACAGTTTCAGTTCTTTAAAAGCACCATATATTTTCTTGGGCCTAAAATTCCCACCACGCTATTTCTTGGAACCCTCTCCTTACTCTCACCATCTTCTGCTTGGTATTAATTACCCTGCAGTTCTCATCTTACACATTGCTCTGTAATAATTCTTTGTTCACTAACCCCAGGCCAGTCTCCTATTAAATGCTTTTGTATAATCTTCAGTCTACAACTCCTTTAGCAGTGCTTACCATAATCACATTATTTACTGGTTCCTGCCTGATGGTGAGGTCTATGACCCCAAGAATCCTTACACTGGGCCAGGGATAGAGCTTAGCAGCATAAGCACCTGCCTGGCAAGCACAAGATCCTGAGTTCGATTCCCGGTACCAAAAAAAAAAGAATCGTTACATTTATTTGCCGCTATATCATACAGCCAAAGCACAATGCTAAAAGGCATATGGTATAAATTTAATATTTGCTAATATGACTTCTAGTTTCTAACCTTCACATATTTCTGGTTTCCAACCTTTGCATAGTATTTCTTTAAGAAAGATTTAACCATTCAGACCTACAGTCTGAGAATAAAGGGTATTTAATCAAGTACAAAAACTGTTCTTATTAAGTACACACAGTATTATGCATCAGAAACTCTGCTATATAAGGATATGCTTCTTAACACATTTCTGCTGGCTTGAACCCCTAATGGGACATGCGAACCTGTCCCATCACATGGCTTGTACCACCCGATGGGCCTGTTCAAGCCACCTGAGGGGACACTTATGCATGTACCACCAATGGTTTAGAGCTGCCAGCAACAAGACAATATGAGTTATAGCCCCATCATGAACATGTTGAAGTCCATAACCAAAATATTTTTAACTTGTTGAGAACAAAGTACATTAAGGAAAAAGTAAGTGCTTAACCCCATGTGGTCTCAAGAAACAAATTTCTGGTTTCATATTTTTAAAATAATAAATGTATTTTATATTAAGTGTATTTGCTTGAATATGCAAATATTTCCTTTCCCTAGAGAGTAACACATACTCCAAAAGAATGTGTTGTTCTATTTTTTTTTTTGTCTTTTTGAGACAGGGTCTCGCTGCGTAGTTCAGGCTGGCCTTGAGCTCACTTTGTAGCCCAGGCTGGTCTCAAACTTGCAATGATCCTCCTGCTTCAGCCTCCAGAGTGCTGGGATTACAGGCATGCACCACCATGCCCAGCCTCAAGAATGTGTTGCTCTAGTATTATGCTGAGTGAAATAAACCAGACACATAAGCTTAAATATTATATAGTATCTCTCATTTGAATAAGGTAAAGGACAAAGATAATAACAAAGGGTGGATAGAAAGGGAAAATGGGACCAATCTCTTACAATAGGGAAGTGGTCCAAGGGAACAAGGGCGAGGAGAAGAAGTAAAAAGAATAAAGATGTGGCATGTACAGAAAACTAATAACCCCAATTAATGTAAACACTATATGCCACAACATGAGCTAAGACAAATAGTATCAACAATGATGAAAAAGGGGACGGGGAAACAGAGGAGGAGGGAAGAGAGGAAGAGAAGGGGAGGGAGAATTAAAGAAAAAAAAGAAACAAGCTGTAATATGTATATGTACATGTAAACCACTCTCCAAGACAACTATATACTGTATCAATGGCAAACATGGACTAAAAAAAATGCACTGTTTTAATTTTATGGTTTATAATAACTCTTTGCACACCACCACAAGATTCAGGTGTGAAAGGAGGATATGAGGAACAAGAGTACACATACTCATCCTTGATTTCTTAGTTTTCACAAAGAACCAGTTATAGACCTAAATTAAAATATGTATTTTTCAAAAATTAGAAGTAAAAAGGCCAAGGTAACATCTAAAGAATTCAACTTTAATCAATATGCAGTATGATGCTATCTCAAAAGAACAAACTAAAAAGTTGCTGAAGACTCAACTGGCTTTTAAACTAAATAAAAGCTATGAAATTATGTAACACTGGCGAAACTGGTGTACTTGATGGATAGCTATAAGGTAAGTTCTGATTATCTGATAGTGTTAGATTCTATCTAACATTCTATAGAATGTTAGATTATCTGATGGATGTTCAGAATCTGAAAAAAATTAAAATATAGAAGATTGAAAAACAAATGAACTGAAAGTCACACCATGAATGATTTAAAACTTAAGCAGCATGAATGGCTGCCAAGTTGGTAAGTGCTCATGTGGCCAGCTGACTACTAACGTGATAAGTCACTAACTATATGTAATTTTAAAGCACACTATGTTTAATATCAGCTTGAGGTTTGTGTTTATTATCTGAGCAAAATAAATGCTACAGTTTTCAAACCATTTTAGTGGGAGTATGCCTTGTGGTGGAACTAATTAGTCACATAACCAGAGATATGAGATATTTTCATCTCTTCTAGTAGAGGAAATAAGACATATACCTATCCACTACTACAGAATGAAAAGTAAGGGCTAACAAACATCCTGAATATAAAAACCAGACTTCACAGACAGTTATGATAATACTATTACCAGGCCGGGGATAAAAATATTATTACTGGGCTGGGGATATAGCTCAGTGGCACAGCACCTGCCTGCCAAGCACAAGGTTGAGTTCAATTCCAGTTACCAAAACTTAAATAATTTATTAATTAATTATTACCTTTATACAGGTATGTATCTGTACATAGGTATATAATTTTACATTATAATTTTTTTATGTATTACAGGAATGTAGCTCATCTCAAAAAGATTTACACTATTTACAAACCTCTTCCCCTTGATTTATCTGCTCCTTTGTTCTTTCTTTTGTCTCCATAATGTACGAATAGTCTTCCTTCATCTGTTCAAGCTGGGTTGCTTTCATGAAGAACTGTATCAACAAGAAAAACACAATTAAGAGCCTATAAAATCATACAGAACTTTAAAAAAATGAAAAGATGAACTTATTTTGTGAAAACTTTGAGGTTAATTATGTAAAAAAGATATTAAAAGCATAAGCACAAACACATAACCACAAAAGAACACATCTTATTCAGGTGCAAATTTGCTGACCTTTCTACACTCATTTTATGCATTCATTTGCAAAAGCTCTTCAAATCCTACAAGACAGAACACTTTTGGGTGTGATAGCAACACAATTTTCAAGGTTCAATTTCATCAATTATTTCATTTTTTTCTAGCAAAAACAACAGGAAACACTCACATCTTTGATCTTATTTTTTAAAATAGGAAATACCAAAATGCACACCAAAAGCTACATAGTAAGTTTTAGTAGTAGTCAAATTGTTAGTTAAGCTTTAAATAATTTAAAGTTTACAAGTTATTATGTATATATAGTCAAATATTCCCTTGTATTTCCTTAAAGCTTAGTTTTAAAAAACAATCCATTTCTTTCACCATTGAAGTCAACTAAAAACAAGTACAATAAGTCCCCAGTTTACAAGCAAGTTCAGTTCAGGGAGAACGTTCATAAATCAGACTGGTTCCTAAATCAGACAGTGAGTCTTACACAGTACACCTGTGAAAGTTCACAACTCGAATGTTTGAAAGTCAGGGACTTACTGTATTTATCAAGAAAACTATCTCACAATTTACTAACAATGTTCTAAGGTAGTCCTAATACAACTGTATTACATTAAGTGGCTAGGTTCAAGGGGAAAACAAATCTTAAATCTCATTATCAGCAAGAACAATGTTTGGGATGTATCTGTATGTATTGGGGGTAGATTTACATTTACATTCTTTGGTGACACTTACTTTGTATTTGTCTCCTTCATTTTTAGACTGCAAGAATTGCTTGCTCATCTCTTGTGTTAAAACAGAAACAGGATTATCTACCTGAAACAGATCGATTTTTAATATTTCACTCATGCCCTAAAGGTAAATATTCTGAAGTCCACAACGCTGTACACAATGGTGCTATCAAGAAGACTAAGCACTAGCCAAAGGCTGTAACATTAAGGTAAAACACAAAGAGAAAACACTATAGAGATTTTTAAGTGCCTCAAAATTTCATGATACTTTACCAAAATAAACACGTATGGTTAAATTCCAATGTTTAACATTAAAGGAGGGCACAAGCTGAAAAACAACCTGAAGCGCCAATATCTGATGGTTTTTCACTTTCATCTGTTTTCATAGATATCACTCACAGGAAAAAGTCCACGGCACAGCTGTCACTGTTCTGGGCTCTGGCAGAGCTCTGCCCCCGACCTCCTATGTACCTTGGGCCAGTTACTGAGTTTTTCCAACTATACCTGTAAAGTCCAGTTCAGTTATTTCTAATCACAATTATATTAACAAGTATTATTGATTTTTCTTACAGCAGTGCTTAAAGATTTCTCATGTGTCTTTATTCCTCCATGAAGGTATGGTAAAACAAATGGAAATAATTAAATAATTTCTGTTATTTTGGAAGGACTCATTTTAATTAAGCCATTGCTTGAATTAAACTACCTAAACTATCAAAGTACTACAGTTGGAAAATATAAAAACAAGAGAACTTGTTTGAAAAGATTCAGGGTTATTATCCAATAAACATCTTCAGTACCAATAATAAAGCAATTTACATGGTAAAAATAATCTTTTCACAGTTACAGACCATCTGGGGTCAGTATAAATACAAAAAAATACCTTTAAATCCTTTAATTTCTGCCATCCGTAAATTAACAACTATATAATCTTAGTAAACCAATAGTTAAAACATTTTCTTTAGATAAAATGTTGGGTGGCTTCTTCTAAAATAGTAATTTTTTTAAAAAGTAATTATAAAGGTATTTTTATAAATTCTGTATCTTAAAATTTTATATACTAACTAGACTCTCTGATTGCCACATCTTTTGCAGTGCCTCCCTATCTTAATTTCACACTGAACTGGCTTAAAAGTAAAACCTTAGGCTGGGGATATATAGCTCAGTGGCACAAGTGCCTGCCTGGCAAG